GAATGAATATGTATACAATCAAACGATGAATTCAAGAGAGGCATATAAATCAGAAAAATGTCTGCATAACGGGGCATAAACTTTTGGAACTTATGACAAACTTGCACACATGACAAGAGTCCTCCACTTCCAATTCATGTTGCGGTTGGTTGCATGGCCATTCCAATGTTATGGGGGTGTTATGTGATGGCTTCGTTTGGCGTTCACTCACTGTATATAATGTTTATGGGAAGGCGCGACTGTTTGTGAGTATAAAAATTGGGATGGTTTTGTATGTATTTCTAAATTTCTTGGGGCCCCATCAAGCCCTCATTTGGACACTGGGAGGAAAAAGAAAACAGGGAAAACCAAGAGAGACTCTGCACAGAGTCATCATCAGGGAAGGCTCAACTATAGGCCTAATCAATATCTGTGCCCTAAATCAGGTGGCAGACATGCCAGACATGGAGCTATGACCTCTGCCCTATGCACCCCCTTAGGCACAAGAGGAAAGACTAACTAAGTTCCTTGGGAGTGGCGTTCCCTGAGAAATGAAGCCACTGACAAGGAACATAGGAATACAAAAACATCCCAGTTTCTATGATTCCAAACTGTCTGGCAAGTAGCGCAACGTGGAAATAATCATACAAATGAGCAGTGACAACTGTTGAAAATAAGGAATACATTACGCCACTGCAAAGTAAAACACGCCGTGCAACCTGCAGTGGTATGAATGCCGTGTGGGCGGGTCCTTATTGGTACCAAACTTTTATAAGAGAAAAACGTTTAGGCTCATTCTATGATGAAGAAAACAAAGAATCACAAAACAAACAATGAAATGGGACATAATTTGACAAAAGAAGTGAGGACGCTGAAGAAAAAAAATACTGATGAGCGAGGCTATTAACTCTTTGAACCCCAAGGAACGCATCATAGGTACATAGATTCCTACCTAAAAGCCCAATGAATTCATCATGCACTGATTTTATGTCTCTCTTTACCACCCCTCGTCATGTGATGCTAAACCCTCTGGGGCTCAAAGAGTAAAAGGTTTTGCAATTAACTCCATACAGGATATCAAATAAATTGCAAATGACAGAAGAGAATGGAGGAATCAACTTAAGCTCTACATGACATATAAATGAATGGCACTACAGTATATGTGTGGGATTTGTGTGCATGTATGTACTGGAATTCTTCACTTTTCAAACTCACAATTAAGACTGATTATATTTTACAATTACCTCCAGCTCTACTGACAACAGCTTTCCCCCTCCCTGAAATTTAATATTGCATATAGTACTTTGTCATGTAATTTATAACGTAACCTAGAATTTAAATAAATAAGATGATTCTCTACAGAATGGAAACTGCCTTCTCTGAAGGTCCACACATCTCATAGATATGAAGCAGATGTTCATATCCATTTTCCCCTGCTTTTAGCATGCTGTCCTATATTTTTTTTTTTAAGCAGCAGACTGTATTGATTACAACAATGGTATCCAGAGCTGACCAGTCATAAAGCAAAGGTAAACTCATATCCTTGTCATTGAGAGTTAGAAAAAGAATTCTTGCTTGCTACATACATCCAGTTTTAACATATGGCTGTGAATCCTGGACAATCGGTAGGCAGGCCAATCAATTTCTGGAGGCCTCGGAGATGTGGTTTTACACAAGAATGCTTAGAATACCTTGGACAGCCAAAAAGAGCAACCAAGAGGTTTTGAAAGAGGCGGGAGCCCGAAGACAATTTATCACAGACATCAGAAGGAGACAAGTCATCATTTTTCGGCGATGTTATGAGAAGAGGGAAAATAGAACATGTTGTGACCACTGGAAAGATATGTGGAAGGAGAGATAGAGGAAGACAACGAGAGAAGATGCTTGACAGTCTTGTTGCATGGCATGGAGGTGTGTCGGCACATGAACTGATACATGTGGCAGAAGATCGCAGATTATGGAGAGCCATGATCGCCCACGCCAGTCAGCAAGGCACCTGATGATGATGACGAAACTACTGAATGTAAAATTTCCCAGTAAAATCACAAAGGGCCCAAAAATTGCTGGGGCAGTTTTGCAGTATCCTGTAAAGGATACACATCTAACTCCTGTATCAGTGGGCACTAATGTAACTCAGCAAAATGGTCCTAGGCCTTAGCTGAGCAATGTTTACTTTTTCTTATTCTTTCTTATTCCCACAGTTTTAGCCATTTTACTTCAAAATACGAAAACAAATTATCAATAAATATCAACCAACCAATCAATTAACCAATCTCTCTCTCTCTCTCTCTCTCTCTCAGACACAGTATAGATAATCCACAGATATATGCACACACTCGGTGAGATCAGTAAATAATTATCAAGCTTCACGTACACGGATAACTAAATCTTCTTCTTCTTTGCATTCAGCGGCTGCAAACTCCAGTAGAAAGTTCTGGTAGTTCATCCGCTTCTGGACTCCTATCCTGTTCCAGAACCTGAGTGTTGCATGTACATCCGTTTCACATGTCTGACTCATTTGCATGCAGACTTGGTTACCTGCCCCTCAGGCAGATGTACTCTGACTTAGACGGATGCTCCCGATTAGTAGATTCTTGCAATGTTATTTTGAGCAGGCAGTGGTGTCTGTTCTTGTTTTCCCCCAACATGGGACCCCGGAACCCACACGGGGAATAACTAAATCATAAAGGATCATTTAGACAGTAAAAAATATGTAAATTACCTATCTGTTATAAGAACAATGTTTGTCTTCTCTTCTCTACTCAGAGGGGCATGGGCCCAGTATATGTCAGTTTTGGCCAGCTCTCCTTTCATGACTGTTTGTAAAAGTCTAAGACCAGCTGCATTATATGGTGAGTAGGGTTGCAGTCCCTGAAACAAATCACACATTACATAAGAAGTCATATGTTTATTTCAATGCAATGAGGCAATCATGTCCATCCTCACTCTCATTTCTAGATGCAATTTAGTGTTTTAACTTTAACACCCCCCCCCCCTTTTCCCCCTTTTTTTTAAACACAAACATTAAATATTACTAATTATATTATTTCTGGCTACTGTGTTTGTTTTTTTTAATTTAAAATTTTTATTTTAAAAAAAAGTGTATAACATATAATTGGATAAGTAGAAAGTAAAGTTGAGGATACTTTTCATATCAGTAACATTTTTACAGACCAATCAGCTCTCTTATGGGTGATGTGGTTAATACTGTGCAAGTTACCTCTACTTCTCAGGACATTTCCTGGTTCTCATTTTAGGCTTGGTTGACCAATACACTTGTGTCCTGCCAGTTTCTTTTGCCTCATCTAAGAAGGCTAAACATTCAATCTACTACCCTAATATCAGTGAGGAGTATAATACTGTAAGATTTGTTTCCTTATTTTAGAAAAATCCACATTGTGAACCTTACTGGGTCTTCTCAAGTTAGCAACTGACATTGAATGTTGAAGCCACTCTGACATCCTTCCTTATTTGTTGGTACAGAAGTCAAAAGAAATGTATGTACAGAATGATTAAACATTTAAAAAAAAATGTGTTTATCCATAAACAATTTTGAATGTTAGAATATTTTAACATAAATTCTCTTTCTTGTTATAAGGACCTACCAGTGATGGATTAATGAACCGGGGCAATCGTACCCTTGCCACAACACCACCTTCCATTTCAGCAGATCTGAAGACAAAATGGAACAAATATGAACACACAAAAAAGCAACATACACAAAAGTAACAAAAGCACCACCAACAGTTAGTTTTTTAACAGGAGACATTCCTGTCTGGACATAAAGTCAGTTTGCCACTGATAATGCCACAAAGTATTCTGGCCAGGTATTTTAAATTGTAATGAAAAAAAAAATAGGAAACTATGAAGCTAAATGGATGGAAAGGACAAATATATCCAAATACTACTAATGCTTTCCAATGAGCCATTAGAGTTGTGTTAAATTTTTTCTTTAGTTATGAGTTGTTTTATCTTCACAGTACTCTGGACACACCTATAGGTGCTCAGATTTCTCCTTCAACAAAGACATCAGCATCTTGCAGTTAAAAGCGCCAGTCCTATGCTGAGCAGCAGCTACAAGCTGATCAGCAGGTGCACACATGATCAATTTTAATCACAAAAGGCACCACCAATTCTGTGGCAACAAACCACGTGACATTTTCTGAATCTACAGTTCACAACACACATTTTTCTGTCTGTCATCTCCTAATGGAGCAATGGCACCCAACCAACTCATGCTAAACTCTTATTACACATGTTCAGGATGGTTGCATTCTGCAACTAAAATTGTATGTGTGATGAGGTGGCCACTCTCCAACCAACTATTTTTAATCACCTTTTATGAGCACATAGGTAACAGTGTTACTAGTTTTTGATTCCTTGTTTTGGCCCCAAAAAATACATTTATGAATGAACCACTAAGTCTTAGAAACAATTATGATTTTTGTTTTCATATATGGCTTACAACACAGTGCTCTGCTTCTGTGATATCCATATTTAATTCTGTTGTTCCAAGAACCTGCAAAACTGACACTTCCAGTTGGGACCATTTCCCTGTAAATGTCACTTTTCTTATTTGTCTAAAGTGACTTGTTTATAATAAATGTAGTTAATACTATTGGCTGTGTTCACACCTGCACAAACATTTATAAGATAAATATGTGAATATATTAACTAACAATAGCATAGGTCGGGTGTGGGAGTAAGGGTGTTCTTTCAAACCATTTTTTTAAAGCCAAGTTGACATCAAGAGAGGTCATGGTACAAATCACCCCAAATATATATATTTTGTAGGCCCCTGTGAATGTTGTTCATTTAAAGCTTGGCTCTGTTCATGTTTGCTTATTACATCTTTTATAAATCTATATATTTCAAAGAAAAAATATACATAAATACATTAAAAAAATATAATCCATGAACTGTGTAAAATAGGTAGTTTTTAAAATTTTAAAAAATTTACACGGGGTCATAACCCATTATCGAGGCAAAATAATTAATCTCTATACTATACCCATTCTTACCTTCGAAGTCCATCGAATGCCATGCTGACCATGTCCGCAACACCACCTGCTGGTTTAGTCAGCAGACCCAAAAGACCCTTCCCTACACCTTTGAAAAAGCCTTCAACACCATCCTCATGGGCACCTGTAAATAAGCTGACCTTTCTACATTTTTATTCAAATATAAAGCAAACAATTATAAAGTCTGTGTAAACATTTCTTTTATTCATTGTAATAATATACTAAGTTTTTCCTGTGGGTTTGAGGCCCCAATGGAGGAAGGAGGAGGGGCCCACAATAATCCTTAACAAGCATGCTGTAAAGGTAGACTGATTACAAGATTTGCTGAAACTGGAATCGCTGGGTCTAAAGGCTCAGACATCACAGTATCACCGTAGACAACAACACAATGTGCTAATCGCCATCTCAAGGGCAAATACAGAAGAAGAAAAATATGCTGAACGTACTAATTTCTCTCACAAATGTAAAAAAAAAAAAAAATTGGGGGGGGGGGGGAGATACAATTATTATGACTGTATTGTATATTTATGCTAATCATTCACACAGGAAAGAAATAAATAGCGATTTTGTTTAAAAATCCATACAAATATTATTTATTTGTTATACTTTGTTTGGTCTAATGTTTATAAAGTAAACATGATATCTCACAGACATCAATTGCAGTAGACAAACATGGTAGATTTCTCACATGATGATGATGACACTATGTCTTTCAAGCGAAAACTTAGTTGTTGTATAACCAACCCCAGCATTGTTTGGCTGTTGTGGTTTTTCTAGGCAAATTTTACGTTCAGTAGTGTGCCACTGCTTTCTAAACAGTCAGCTTTCAATACTATCGATTCATTGGTTGAGGACATAGACACTCCAATATCGTTGAATTTGCTAGGAAAATGTATTTGTATGAATTTGTTTTGAAAAACTAGAATTAAGAAACGAAGAATTTTCGTATTCTAAAGCAGTGCAATACCATTTGTGTGTGATTTTATTTTTCTAAAATGGCCAAACCAAAATAGAGCTAATCGAGAACTGTCCATACTGCTGCTGCCACCAATGAATCTGAGTCAGAAAGTGACAACAGTCTTGACATTATGATTAATAATGCAAGTGCAGCAGTTAATGCTGACAATTTGGGTAAGGATGAAGCTGAGGGAAAAAAAATGTTTCAAATGGTCCCTGTTTCAATCAGTGTCTGGAATTTGGTTGTTCTGAAATTTGAAAAGTCACACAGAAGTGGTCATCAAATTCTAAGTATTTAGATACATATTCTCAAATAAAGACTAGCCGATGCATAATTTAATAGAGGAAGGCATGCAAATTCTTAGAAATGGATAGCACTGTTGCGGATAAAGTTAAAAAAAAAAAAAGTTTACTAAAAAACTTTATTTGTCAAAAATGTTAATATGTGTCTATCTTTGAATGTGGTGTAATTTTAATATTTGTTGTTGCAATAAGTAAAAAAGTAAAGATCCCTTTTCACGCCTTTCGGCGCATCGGGCATATGGGCAGAGCGTCCCATATTTTTACAGACCATCAGCACTCTGTGGGTAATGTGGTCAGCATTATGCTGGCTGTCTTTACTTTCCCAGGACAGCCCATCCTGGTACCCTATTTTAGGCTGGGTCGACCTATGTCCCATACTAACAAAAATCCACGCAGCTGCAGTGGGTTTCGATCACGGTATCACGATACTCGGCAACAGCCACGGACGCTGTTGTTGCAATACTGACCCTTAAATAGATTAGATGTATTCTGTATTCATTTCTGTTATATTATCTATCACTATACAGCCAATACGTTTCCATGGAAAGGTTTTAGTTTTTTCATGTTGCAGTAAAAAAAAAAAAATTCAGCTTGAAATTAATTATGTCCTGAAAGTGTTAATATACAACTGGTTAGTCTAGATTGGGTACACAGAGTTCAGAGTATTTCATTTCAGTATATAATAACAGATGAATGGTGAAGTCCTGGAGCTGAATGAGTTAAGAAAATAAACATCAACTTATCATTGCAGTTATCACTTCATGGACTGGGTTAAAGCCTAAACTCTTTGTCCCTTATCTTTCCAGATGCGGGTGTTATACTGTGCTATAGGGAGCCATGGCAATGTGAAAACAAGTCCATAAACGATGTATTTTCCTCTCCACAGCACAAAGTCTAGGCAGTATTCAAAAGATCATGTGTTGCCTATGCATTATGATCCCTTTCTTGGCCTTCCTTGTTTACTCTAAATAATGTAATACCAATAGATTAGGTGTCAAAACCTACAAATCCCTAATCAGTAACAGTATGAACAAGAACACGGTTTTTATACCTTTCACTGGGTCTAATATGACTCCTGAAAGACCCAGACCTATGCCAATGACCAGGGTTTTGGAAGCCATTGCTAGACTGGCAGGTAAATCTTTAGGTTCTTGCTGCATCCTTGCTCTGCGTTTCTAAGAATGCACAAATAAATTTTCGTTTGTACAGATTTGACATTATATCTTTCTAGGCAGCAATGTAGACAAAGATGGAGGAGCTTGGAGACATATTCAAATAAGAACATGAAAAGCAAGAAACAATTTCAAAGCATGATGAACATTTCTGGATGTCAAAAGTAATTTTTGGGGGGAATTAAAACACACACAAAAAAGCAAACAAGCAAGTAATCAAGCATGAATACATGCACACAAAACTGGGGAAAAAACACAACTGATTACAAGAAGAAGAAGAGGAAGAAGAAGAAACAAATAAAAAGGAAAAAAGAGCAGAAATGGAACAAAAAAAGTAAACGTAAAGATCCCTTTTCATGCCCTTAGCGTAGTGGGAATATGGGAAGAGTGCCCATATTTTTTACAAACCATCGGCACTAGGTGGGTAATGTGGTCAGCACTGCACCGGCCGTAAAAGGAAACAGAAGAAGAAGAAAGAAAACAAACTATAATGTATACACCTTAATGTTTAAATACTTTACTATGTTAATTAAAATATACAATTTTTTTAAATCTTCCTTGACTTCTTCTTCTTCACTGCTGCTAGGGTTTTCTGACATTAAAGAAGTTATGTGTGCCGCCAATGTTTGTGGAAAGTATTTTCCCACACTATCTGTGCCTTCTGATCTGGCATCTCCATCTTCAACGTGCTTTTCTTTCAGGATATGCTTCCTTAGCCAGTGACCAACCAAGGCCTAACCACTTGGCAGTGGTAGTTTTATTTTGGAGTATCCTTTTCATAGGTGGGTTGCTGTCCCCAGCTGATGAGCCCCACCTACCCAGAGAAACACTTATTCAAATTTTGAATGACATTGTGTGTTGGTGTGGTAGCGTGTATATGTAAATTATGATGAAAAAAGAAGTGGTCAGTTCCCTTACTATTTTATAATCTTCATCAAAGGAAAGTGCTGCAAGAGTCCTGCCAATTCCTCCTGTTATCTGTGCCACTGAACCTGCTGTACCTCCTGTCAACATTTTTGAAATAGTTATAAGCAAAAAAAACTGAACTGTTTAAGATCAAAGCATTGATACTAAACAACTTGTCTTCTGGTTCAGGTGCCTGTGAAACAGACATTGTGATCATGACTCTTTTTAATCTGAAATTTTTAATGAAACTGGCATATTAGAATATTATATGTTGTCCAGTTGTTATAGCTTTCCAGTCAGCTTTATCAGTCATCTTCTGACTTTTATATCCTGTATGTTATCAGAAAAAACAAACAAAGAAAGGCCTGTTATCAACATCAACATTAATTCTCTTTATGCCTAGTGGCACATGAGGCTTCAGAGAGGAAATTCCATGCTTTCCTGTCCTGTGCAGTTTTCCATGTCAGAGATGCCGCACAGGTCACTTTCCACCGTTCGTCTCCATGTTGTTTCTAAGTGCCCCTTTTTTTCTCTTCCCTTCTTGTATCCATGTGAGAGCTGTTTTGGCAGGTATATCAGGATTCATTCTCATAACATACCTATTTAACTGCTATAGTCCATCTAACTGTATTTTTATACTTATGGTTTTAATTATACACTACTCTTTATTCACAATATTCCCAACATACTGCTCACCAACCATATCTCCAACGCCTGGAACTTTCTGACAGTGTAATTATTTATTGTCCAACTCAGAAGGCCACACAAAAGACCAGCACACACATTTTTACAAATAAACAGACGGAGAAGTGGTTGGCCAATGGTTAAGAGCAATGGGCTCATGCAGGTGACCCAGGTTTAAATCTTTGTTAAGCTTCAAAGATACCCCCCCCCCCCCCCCACACACCCTCCACCTACAATGCAAAAGTGGCAAATACAGGTCGTATTGGCATTTTATTTTTTAAATGGCTGATGGCAGATTTGTGTGCTTTCTATGAAAACTAAATTTGTCACAATAATACTTTTCTATCTAGTTAAATAGTCTGTATATAGTAAGTAAAAGTACAGGATCCTTTTCCACACCTTTAGGCGTACTGGGCACATAGGGCTAGACCTATATTTTATAGACCAATTGACAAAAGATGGGTGATGTGGTCAGCATTACGCCAGCCGCCTTAACTTCCCGAGACTGCACCCAGGACCCACTCAAGGCTGGGTTGACCTGAGAGCCAAGGTCCTTTTTGAAAAATAGTACGGCTCCATCAGGCAGAAAACCCAAGACCTTCCGACCCGTAGGTGAGCGCAAAAGCATGTTGTAAGAGTCGACTAATTGGGAGCTTCCTTCGAAGTCAGAGTGCATCTGCCTGATAGGTGAGAAAGCAACAGTCTGCATGCAAATGAGTAAGACCTGTGAAACGAATGTGAATCAACACTCAGTTTCTGAAACAGGACCAGAGTCTAGAAGGTCTAATCTACTAACACAATTTAGTTATTATAGCAGTATTCTAATATTATTCCTCAACAATCCCTGGTCCCTTTGATGTATAATACAGTAGAACCTCGCTTAACGAGCACCTCACATAACGAGTAATTCGCATAACGAGCAAAACAAATTGTAAAAAAATGACTTGCTTAACGAGCGACGTTTCGCATAACAAGTGGCAAGGAGAGGGAAAGTCCCCACTTGTGCGCATATTACATCAGTCTGTGTTTAGCAATCGTTCCAGTAGCATCCTGGTGTCGCTTGTGATTACACATTTTCTCAAACTTCTGTTATATTGTGATATATGTACATTAATCCTTCAGGCCTACAAGATGACCTCCCTGAAGAATTAAGTTCACCAAGATCCCCAGTTTCTGCCTGCCAACACCACTCCTTACTTCAGCCCATGGACCAGCAAGTTATTTCTATTTTTAAGAAGCTCTACCACTAAAGCTTTTCGAGCATTGTTTTCATGTGACTGAAGGGACCAACCTCACTCTCAAAGAGTTTGCCTGCCTCAAGATGATCAACAAGGGGGGGGAAGGGTTTACCAAAAGAAACCCAACTTCTGCTTAGAAGAAGCTTTGGCCGGAGAGCTTAGTCGATTTTGTGACTTTGAGGGGTTTGAGACAGTACCTGTGGAACCTGTAGTCAACGAGATTGTGTCTCTTGGCCATTAATCATTGGATTGCTAGGTGGATAACAGTGATACCGAAGAGCTTGTGGAAGAGCAACAGGCAAGATGATGGGACCACCCAGAAGAGCTTATGGAGTTGCATTGTGTTTCATAGCAAGAAAGTGTTTGGAGGAAAGTTTGTCAGAGGATGGAGAAGGTAACAGAAAAAGCAACAATCTTCTGGCGAAAAAAAATAGAAATGACGAAAGCATGGCAAAACTGTTGCATCTTACATTGAGAAGCCTCACCCTAATAAGGAAGGGTCTCTGCGCGTTGCAAATTTATTTAATGATAAAAAATTTTAATTCATCGGCAAAAACAAATGTCTCTGGAACATCTTTCTAGTAAAAAAAAAAAAATTATTACTATGTATCATAATTATTTGGACTTTTTTTTTCTGCCAAATCAAAATCACAATTCCAGGTGGCAAGGTTTCGTTTCGTGTTTGAAGAAAAGATGAAGATGATTCACTCTCTTTAACAATATGCATTATAAGTGTTCTTTGAATAAACGTTATACATAGCATTTTGTGAGTATTTTTTTCAATATGGAACGCATTATCGTATTTTACATTAATTTATATAAGAAAAATTGTTTTTGGCATAACCGAGGTGTTTCGCTTTAACGAGTGATGATTAGAGAACGAATTATGCTCGTTAAGCGATGGTTCCACTGTATGTGTATGTTGTGCAGTAGCTGAATTAGTATAGTATGCATTAATGGGTTACACTTGTGAAATTTCAAAATTACATTACCACCCCTTGGGTTTCTGATGCTAAACCACGGACTCAAAGAGTTAAAAGTATAAATTAAATGAGTTTTTACAACTGTAAACTACTAAAAGAGACAGTGTACTAGAGAAAACTCAACACATTAAAGAGAACAAACGGGAAAGAAAGAAAAACAGCAATTAAAAATCACTTAAAACATAAAAATTGAATAAGAAAATCTCACCAATTGTATTTCCCATTAGGCTTTCTACTCCTCTTGCCAGACTGTCTGTGAATTCATCTTTGCCCTGGATAGACCCCTGGACATACCCAATTTGCATGTCTATTAATATTCTCTGCTTGTGTCAGTAAACTCAGAACAATTAAATTCTATTTGACAAGAATCTGTTGAAATAACATGGGCAGAAACAATTCATTGCACATTTACTGCCTGAAATAATTTGCAGTATCTCATCAGATGGTCATCATCATAATGTAGCAGGTCTTTTGCAGAACGTCGCTCTCATTACGGTCTGCCTGAAAGAAAATGTCTCTCGCCAGTTCTCCTGCCTAATGTACTTTCATACTCAAGGAGTCACTTATATCCTGTGCTCATCTTCGTGTCGGTCGGCCCCTGTCCCCCCTTCCTGGCACCATGCCTTCTGCTATTATTTTTTCCAATCCGTTGTGCCGCTTGATATGACCAAAATATTTCATCTTCGGAGACAGGATGAACGAACGAACGAACAAACTTTATTTTCAAAGGGTCACAAATTGGGCACGCAGGCCCGTCTTACATTCGGCCCTTCCAGTCAACCATCTTTCACACAGCAATTGTATTTTACTAATAAAGCATGTTATGATCATATGATGATATGCATATTATGAATATTATAAAAGAACACAAAAGCATGAGTTGTAAAGTGCATGCAAAAACCCGCGCGTGCATACATACACCCACATAAACACGCTCACCCACTCACTTACACACACATACATACACGCATACATTGCATACATATACATACAGGCATACATACATACACACACGCATACATACAAACAAACATGCATACACACATACACACAGGCATCCATACACACAAACATACATACAAAGATACAAACATACAGGCATACATACATACATTCATACATACATAATACAGGCATACACACATACAAACATTCAGTCATAAATACAATCATGAATGGAGACACACACATGCACACACGGACACTCCCACAGAGACACACACACTCAGACAAAAATACAGACACACACACAGACACTTACATATAAACACACACAGGAAAACACACATCACACATATTTACATTCGTGCTCACACACTGACACACACACCACACACACACACATACGCAGACAAACATGCAGACACATACATACAGCCACATAGACACACACGTAGTCAAACACACACACACACACACACAGACAAACAGGCAGACAAACCCATACTGACACCCACAGAGACAAACACGCAGAAGTGAATACACATGCTGTTTATTAGCCAATCTTCTTTGATGTCCAGATCTTTAAAGATGTCAGTATTTCTTCTCTTCTTTGTCCAAGATATTCTGAGAATCTTTCTATAGCATTTCAGCTCAAAAGCCCCTATTCTTTTTCTTAAGGACTGAGAGAAAGTCCACGACTCACATCCGTATGTAGCCACAGGGAAGAAGCATGCTCTCAAAATTCTAATTTTGATCTCCTTGCTGGTGCACAACCATAGCCTTTTAAGGCTGTTCAATGTTTGCATTGCTATGACCATCGCCCATTTAATTTCTGTCAAACAGTCTCCATTGCTGTTTATTATAGAGCCTAGATATTCAAAGTTTGTGACAATTTCAATTTCTTCATCATTTATTGTTATTTTTGGGTGACAGCCAGTTTTATATGTGAACATTATTTTTGTTTTCTTTACATTCAAGAACAGATTTTGATGGTACATAAACATAAAATGAAACCAAAAACATGAATCCTTTCTACTGAAATACACAAAGCACAATGTGAGTTGTTTCACTATATGTCTTACCAACAAAAGTTTAATATTAATGACATGATAACTATGGAAGTTTTTGAAAGATTTCAGATTTTGTGCTTCACTATATGTTGATGGACATTAATGAATGTCTGCTAGTTTTGTTTTTGTATTAGAATAAGAACTTACCAAGAAAGGTTCATAAAAGAAATCTCCCAACCCTTGTGTGAAGTCCTTGATCAAGCCATAAGGATTTCCCAGTACATCAAGACCTAGAATCAACACATAGGCTTGCTGCAATGCCTGGTGAATGTAATGCGACTTCACTTGGGCTGTGAGTTGATTGACTGACAGAAGGACACCCTTTCGTTCAAAATAAGCCATCCTGAAATAACAGACACAAAAAAGAATAAGCTGTAGCAAAAAAAGCATTAACAGATCGTTTAAGAAAAATATATTTTGGGATGTGTTGTTACAAGAATGTAAATATCAATACACTTTTTTATTCATCAAGTGAAGAAGAGCTCAGATCCAGTATCTGTATTATTAGTACTGTCACTATTAATATTACAAACAAAAGATGGCCCACTCCTAATAAGCGAGGTAAGTAATTGCTTTGTTTTGTATATAAGCTATTAGACTGTAGTTATTATGCTCTGTCTTTTTACAATGTATTTTTTGTCTTAACAATAATTTATGAATTGTTAACTTGCACATTTGTTTTTTGTCATGTTTAGATGAGAGAAGTGGAGGTGTAAAATAAAATACTGCACAGGGGCATCATACACTCTAAATACGGCCCTAGCTATATATGTAACTGAAGTAGTATTCCTAGATATTACAGCTGTTATTCAAAACAACACATGCCCAACACTTAGTAACACAATCTCAGCATCAGTTGTCTAGCAATGACAATTTTAGTAGGTAAAGGAATTCTTCTTTGCTACTGGATGGCTGTGTGGTCTCGAGGCATGGTGTCTGCCTTGAGTGTTAGATGTTTCGGGTTCAATCTCCGGTAAGGACTGGGATTTTTTTCAAGTGGACTTGGACTTCTAGTAATTCCCCCTTGTCTCTGGGTAGTGAAATTGGACGCCCGTGTACATGGTTGCGCACGTAAAAAAATCCCTTGGCAGTTGGAAAATGAAAAGGGTAGCCTAACAGCTCTGCCTGAGCAAAATCTGGAGTTAAAAATCTACCCAAAGTATTTCAGGATCCTCCCCAGTGCTACAGAGCCTGTGCACTGTGCTGAGCTTCTTTGGACTCAGACTTGAGTTAGAAGAAGAACAGAGTACTTATGGGTTACTACCCCCCGTGTGCCATGATGTTGATCCGTTGTTTAAAAACCTCAAAATTCTCAGACCTTCTATGCTACTGGGCATACTTTGCCAGACCAAAATTTCTTTAGACCAACTGACACTCAATAGGTGATGTGGTCAAGATTATACTGGTCACCTTTACTTACCAAGGCTGCACCTATTACTCTGTTTAAACTGGGCTGAACTTAGAAAATATGTAATAAAAAAAAAAAAATCTGACTCCCAAGGTTTATTCGAACCTAAGACCTTCTGTCCAGCAGGAAAGCCACGATCAGTTGTCAACACTGCTCCTATGATGACTGTGCCTATTCAATGCCTTCTTCATGTCTCCTCTAGTCATGTTCTGTCTTTCAGCTTCAGGCTCTGAAAAGGCATCAGTTGTGAGCCTTAGTAAATGCTATGTAGATGCTGGTTTTAAGGCCTTGGATATTCCCTCTATCCACTGCTTTCCTGGTAAACTTCCAGCGCTGCTTCCATTATGTCTAAGTGACAGGACTCTTGACATATGATCTGTTGTCTCTTTGAGGTTTTGAGGTTTCATACAACGGATCAACACCATGGCACACAGGTCGTAACCCAAAAGAACTCAGTTCTTCTTCTAACTCAAGTCTGAGTCTGAAGAAGCTCAACACAGTGCACAGGCTCAGTAGCATTGGCGAGAATCCTGAAATACTTTGGGTAGATTTTTAACTCTAAATTTTTCCCGGGCAGTGCCGTTAGGCTTCTCTTTTGGATTTCCAATTGTCAAGGGATTTTTTACGAGCGCAGCAATGCACACGGGCGTCTCATCTCACTACCTAGAGACCAGGAGGAATTACTAGAAGTCCACTTGAAAAAATCCCAGCCCTTACCAGGGATTGAACCGGGAACTTCTAGCACTCGAGGCGGACACCATGCCTGGAGACCACGCAGAACCCTCTGTTGTCACTAGATGTATTTAATACAGGTTTTGGCCCAACTTCTTTTATGAGTCTAACACATTTTAATGAAAATCCAATAACAATATTAAATCCTTCAAACCTCAGCTCTACATTCTTGATCTCTGTAAGACTGACCCCAACAGAGTTCAAGAAGAAATCCACTATGTCACCAGTTATGCTACTTGACTGGACTTTGGTTTGGCTTCCTGGAGGCATGTTCACTTTGCTGTACAGTGAGAAGCTAAGATGTAGCTGTAATTAAAGAAATCACAAAAGAAAGAATTAAAATTATCTGAATCATTCATGTTATAAAACGATTGCCAAATCCAATTTTCTTTAAGTATTAAACTGTAAAAATAGGAGATAAGTGTTTGGGGTGAATATTTTCAAGCCTTTTAAATAGGAGATCAAATATTATTGCTGGCAAATCTGCCAATCTTTCGTGTTTCCTTATTTTTTTAATATAGTTTGAAAGTTTTCTTGGGGTGGGTGTGTGAATGCGCATGTGTGTGTGTGTGTGGAAGAAGAAGGAAATGGAAAAAAAGGGGGGGGGGGGAACAAGACAGAACGGTAAAAATAAACAATTTAAACAACTAGTCAAGACACTAAACTCTTTTACTCCCAACCAGATCACTAGGTGGATTCAGTTACTGTCAGTGTTTATCAAAGAATACATGGTGTATTATATGTTTGATCTGAGCATAATAATTATTATGGCTAGCTATTTTAGCCAAAATCTATGGCTTTTTGAAAGTAATACATAATGCATTTTGCAAACTCAGAGAGTGAAACAGAGAGAGAGAGAGAGAGAGAGAGAAAGAGAGAGAGAGAGAGAGAGAGAAAGAGAGAGAGAAACAGAGAGAGAGAGAATCTCTATTTTACCTTCAGAGGAGAAAGATGAATGTACTCAATAAAAATCTTATGTGGTCTTGAATCAATCTGAAAAAAAAGTGAATCAGTTGTCATAAGCTAAGTTTTAACTAAAGCAAGAATTACTTTTTCATTTCATCTTTAAGACTCAATCACTTAAGAGACTACATGGTCATGCTTAATCGCCATACATAAAAAATTAAAAAAAAGCTATACACAGAAATAACTGTCTTTACCCAGACACAACTGCATCTTACACTGAGCTGGTTTAGCTGATACGGATGTACTAATTATATATAACGGGTGTTAAACAGAGTATCTAAGTGGGGCTCATGGAAGAAAGAAAGAGGTAGGACTATGCCCTAAACAACATTAAAAAATGAATACTAGAGAGAGACAGAGAGAGAGAGAGAAGACAGACAGAGAGACAGACAGAGAGAGAGACAGAGAGAGAGACACACACACACAAAGAGAGACAGAGAGAGGGAGCTGTATGGTACATAGGGAGATTAATATGGCATGACAACTTTCATTAAGGTCACTGGCCTCTTGATATAAGTTTTCTGACAAAAGGATCAAAGAAGACAAATAGCAGCAATCTGTTTCTATGTCTGTTTTTCTGATTCTCAGTGCTGACTGCTGACCAGATCCCATGGTCACTCTCCAGCTGCACAATTCTCTTCAGACTGTGATGACCTATTTGTGCTTCCACTTTGTTCACTCAGGGAATATCTGGGCAAATAAAGATAACTAGTGGAATGTAGAGCACATGACCCATCAAGTGCTGACCAGATCCCATGGTCACCCTCGAGCTGCACAATTCTCTTCAGACTGCAATGACTTATTTGTACTTCCACGCTGTTCACTCAGGGAATATCTGGGCAAGTAAAGATAACTAGTGTGATGTTGAGCATATGACCCATCAAGTGCTGACTGATCTATACAAATATAGATCTAGCACTGCAAAACCTGAAGCAGCACATTGACAAGGAAAGCGCCATTTACTGCTGCACATTTTGGATTAAAAGAGGAGATAATTTACATGCCATTACTAAAAGTAATAATACAAGAAATGTGGCGAGAAAAACAAGAAGAGACAGTCACCTATGAAGAACTAATAACAATAGTAGGCATAGTACTGTTGAATGATTTCAATGATCATTAAAGATTAAAATGGTTTGGTCATCTGCTCAGAATCAACCAGCAGCTAGAGCGTAGTACATGAAATCAGCAGGCTACAAGGCATGAGGCTGAACAATAAAGAGATGGGTAGAGGCAGTAACAGAGACACTACACAAATGCAGTATGACATTAACACAAGCTACGCAGCTAGCAAAACAAGAAACTACATATAACTCCTCTCTGCAATACTTTACAACTTAAGCAGTAGGACAATAGAAGAATAACAGTAATAATAGCCAATCCAGGAAGGCTAACTTGGTCAACAAATGCCTGCAGAAGTAGATTTGTTGGTTGAAAGGTGCATATGTCACAGCCTTGTTGTAAGTGGGCACAACACAATTACATTTTCAGATGAATGCAAAAGAATAAGTAATGGGTAAAGATGCCACATCCAATGCTGTTATGCTGTGTGCTAGAAATGAATCACTGCAATAAGTTTACACTCACCAGAATGGCTGTTGCCTCTTTCAGTGATTGTCTTGCTTGGTAAAGATCACATTGTAATTGGAAGCTCTAAACAAAAACATATATTAACTCAATGCTAGAGATGCTGCATATGTTTTCATAGAAGCTGGGAGACATATGTAATTATGTAATGTTGGGTGCTCTTCTTGTGTGGAGCTGTGACTGCTGCGTGAATTTGTAGTTAAGACTAGATCCAGAAAGAAAGGACAAATTGAGAAGAAGAGTATGACATGTGTAAAACCAGAGTCTTAATGAAATAATAAACATCTACAACTGAAAACATTTGCTGTCAGAGACTGAGCGTCTATGTGTTTGCCCAGTATGCTATGATGTAGGTTCTTATTCAGTAATCATGAGTTTAAACCTGGTTCAAAGAGAAGAAAGTGCAAGAGGAAATGTTAGGGGCACCAACAGCAGTCTCCTTCTGATAACTAACTTATGGATTCATCAAAGGCGCCCTATGTGACTGGATATTTTTGTGCATTAAAAACAAAGAGTTAAGTATAATTTTACATCTTATGTTTAGTCACTGACTAAAAAAAAAAAACACTATGAAGAAGAATGGGTGGCCACCTACTCTACTAAACATTTCAAACGTGGCATGAATGATATAGATATTGACTTGTGCAAACAGAATACCATGGATCATGTTGTGTGGAGGGGGAAACATCAGGAAAGGAATGAAAATTAAAGAAGAAATGACTAAAGGAAGGATGAGAGCTGAGCATCTGAGAAGAAACAGACTGAAAAAAAATTTGACAACAACGGCCCTGAAATTTTGTGCTAAAATTTTGGAAGACTTTTCTCAGAATGGAGAACGGTCATGCTAGTCAAACTCGCCATCGCCATAGGATGTGTCTATGGCTCCTCATAGCGCAAATACCATTATTGTCTGGAAAGACGGAAAGGTGCCAATGCATGTTTATTCACTGACTATACAGAACTCCAACAATTTGGTTATTTCCTACAAAAAGCTGAGTATTGAATGCCCCTCAAGGTACTACGCCCATGTTTGTTATTGTCATCACTACCTCCCTAAGATGTCAACCAGGACCTTCTAGGACTTTATTTATTTAAATATCTAATATAGAAAAGTGATCAAAGTCAAAAAAAATCTAGATGAGGAAAACCACTTGATACTTGATCGCAGTATGAAAACAGTTCCTTTACTGCAGAAAGCACAGTTGTGCAGTGGTGAGATACTTGCCTTATGATCCAAAGGTCTGGGTTCAAGTCAGCATTAGGGCAGATTTTTGTAAAATGATTTTGGCTACCAGGTCAAACCAGCCTTAAATGGGTACCATGCAATATCTTGGGAAGTAAAGGTGGCCTGCCGGATGCTGATATCACCCCTTGAGTGCTGATTATATACCTGGCATGTCACTAGCATGAAAAGGGATATTCACTATTTGTTTTTAAAACTATGTAACTATAGCTTCTCCCTTGATATGTTGCCCACAATATGTGGGGCAAGCAGAAAACAATACTGCAAGATTATAATATGAATGATGTTCTGATGTGTAATTTTTCTGCCTACTGTTTAGTATCGGCCAAGGGTGCAGACACAAAGACAACATTGCTGGGCAAATAATGGAAGCGGGAATCAGCCTCTTACAATATTTTTATGAAGGAGTGGGGGTGGGGGGGGGGGGGGGGGGGTGGGGTGGGCGGGGCTCTAGAGGCTTAAGACTTGTTTAATTAAAAAATAATAATGATAAAGAATAATAATGTTCTGAATAGCAAACATATGTTATAATATATCTGAAATAACATTAAATGTATAAACAAATGGTTAAAAACAGAATTCACAGTTGGGGAGATAGCTTAGCTCTTTTATAAATTTTCTATTTAAAACACACAAAAAAGGAACAGAAAAGGGGGAGGGGGTCATGGTGATGACATTCAGGCTTTCACTCTAAAGTATTGGATTTTGGAGCTCCCATGTTCTGACACTCCTGGTATCAGCTTACCTCCTTTACTGCAGGTGTCAGCTGAGAAGTCACGTCCACCAAGGACAGTATGAATCCTTTGTCAAGTTTCAACATGAACTCTTGCACAAGAATTTTTGCATATCTGAATCAAAATAAGTGAATAAATATCAGACAATACCAGATACATCTCTGCAACTAATGGCAATACCAGACACATATCTGCAACTAATGACAATACTAGATACATATCTGCAACTAATTATGGGCTAAATAAAAACAATAAACTACAGAGGTTCTAAAGAGACTAAAAAGAGAAAAATAGAGCTGATAATTCAAGTAAAGATGCAAAACGAAGCCATGTACATTATTCTGGGGTGCACAAAAGACCTCATGTGTAGCAATGAAATACCTTTTTGACTTCCCTACTATGAACTACAAAATCAAGATGTGAAGGACTGGCTCTTTTATTGCCAACACCCACATGCCCTGGGACAAAGATGAAGGTAAATATGCACAGTGGAGTTTTGTAATGACTTGATCCACTGTCTGCGTACAAAGCCTGCCTCGACCCACCGGATCATACTCAAGGAATCACTCAGCCCACACGTGTGAATAGCCCTGCAATGCTAGCAATATGAAAGCTTGTGTAACTGCCATCACCTCCATAGTCATGCTGCTAGTAGTAATAACGAAGGCACCACTTGCCTCCTGGACTGTTCTACCTGAAGAGCACGCAGTAAACGCCCATGTACTTTTTTGTCCTAGTACAACGGACCCATCTGTGTAGATCATTACATCCCCATCCGCCTCATCTAAATTTTCAAATATTAGCCTCTGTGTGGCCCTCTGCATTCACAACATACATTTGATGTTATGCAAGTGTTGTTGGCAATAAAAGAGCTGACAGACTGGCAGGTTCTGCATTAGCTGCAGATGGCCAGCCTCTGGATCATGCTGGTATTGTTAATGCTCTTAGAGAGATAGGACCTTCTGAGGATTTTGGAAGCAATGTATTCACAGCATTGCTAAAAATACGAGAATTTGGAGTAAAGATTGACACTGACAAGCATGAGAGACACACTGGACACACAAGAAGTCTTGTTAACTAGCATGAGACAGGCACTATTAACTGCACGACACTGAAGAATATGTTGAAGGGGGAATCTGAGCATCTATGGATGTGTCCGGAGTGCTGTGAAGATAACCCAACTCATAACTCCAAAGTAAAAAGTAAAGGACCCTTTCCATGTCTTCAGGCATATTTGACATATAGGACAAGCAAAAAAAAAAAAAAAAAAAACCATTACCAACCATGGCTCAATCTGATAATCATTTAACAATTAAAACTCAGACTCTGACAGATTTCAGAACTGACAAAACCAACAACCATACTTGTGTTAAACAAAAAAATGTATAGGCTACTTATCCTTTACAGGAACCATAAACCAACTCCTCATGTATTGGTTGTTAAGTGGATTTTACTAGGAAATGTAGCATTTAGTAGTTTGCCACTACTTATTGACTGGATGGTTGCTCAGCAACCAATCGCCAACAGGTGACTTCAATTTCTGATATGTTGTGATTGCGACAATGTATTAACAACCCCCAAGCCACAGAGATATATTTAAAAATTAAACTGAAAATAAAGACTTTTGTTCCTTTGACATTTCTTCTTCTTTAGTGTTTACCTTCCAAAAGGCAGCTGAAATTCCTGAACAACAGTATCAAACGATTGTCAATACAATAAAACTAGCAATGATCCGTGGGCCACTTGATAGGCCTCTACGGGCCAGATTTGGCCTGTGGGAATCTAGCTTAATAGCCTTGTTTTACGACATGCTTGGGGGGGGGGGGGTGTGTTTTACCTCCCAAAAATATGGCCTCAGAACCCACACTTGGAGGATCACCGACACAAGAAGCAACAAAATGCAAACCTGATAGTATCCACATTCTGTTCCTTGACAGTTCTTCTCATGAGACCCATGTCAATAAATGGTTTATGACCCATGCGTCTCAGCACATAAGTGGGTAGTGGTGCTGGGGTCAAAACAATGGGGAAGTAGGCATCAGGAAGTTGGTTGTCAACCTGTGGGGGGAAAAAAAAATTCACATGAGGTACAAGCAGCTGCTGGTAAAATCAGTATAATCTCATGTAACAGAAACAATACTGAAGTTAAAAAGATAAGGAGGAAGGGGGTAAGGCGGGGGGAGGGGGGGGGGTGTGAGGTGAGCTGCATTTATTAGTGAAGGCTTGAACAACTTGGCAGAGTTGTTTGAGTGCCTATGCTCCACTGAGAATAGAAGGCTTATGAAAAAGAAGAACAGAAAATAAAAACTAATAATTACTTGATATAAATGTGCATATGTGTCCTACTTTTTCTTTTGCCATTTATCCCCTGTGAGAATATATGATAAATGGTTTTGAACCACACACCTCGGCACATAAGTAGGGATATGTCTTGGGGTCATTGGGCAGCCGTGCAGGGGCTGACCAGTACAGAGATGGGCACAGGACAAAAACACCTAGAGCAGAAAGCATATAAGCTGGGAGATCTGGTGAGAGACCCAGTTTTTTCAGGCATACTGTGATAAGAATAATGTTCTGAAAAAGACCTGTTACATGTTGATAATGTTTAGTCATTATATTTATTAGTTGCAATTAACAATTGTCTGGACATATTGAGTTCAAGTAAGAACTGTCTGAGATTGAAAGAGCTCATGATCTTCTAAAGCAGGGCTTTCCAAACTGTGTGCCACAATATATTAGTGTGTCAGCTGCAGAGCATGTGCAGTGTGAAGGTGTGTTGCATGAACATAAAATGCTAAACAGAGTAATTGGCATGCAATGTTACCTATATTGGTGTTATTTGTTTTATTATAATTATTTACACACAAATTATAACAATTACATTTTTCTTTGCTGTGGGGGGAGGGGGGAGGGGCGTGGACAGTAGCAGTTGTATAATATAATGTCGTTGCCTGAAGTGTTGAGCCTCACACCCATGATCTCCAATTTCAGCTCTGTGTTCACAATAAGACTAGCTGATGCAATGCTTTCCTTAACCAGGATGAGGACTCCTTCCTTGGGGCCATTTTTGCTATCAAGCCTCAAACAATGGAGGCTTCTAATGCAGAATTTGTGCTTATTTGACAGGTGCATTTTCTGTATACAAGCAATGTCACAATTTCATTCAGGAAGATAGTTTGTGAGTGCAGCAAGCATTTTTATTGTGGATTTCCATCTTCATTTGATTGTAGAATCTTCAGAAAGCACTTGTCTTATTAATTCATCTTGTCTCGCTGTTGGGATAAGTTATCTGGACTTCTGAGCTTTACTTCTGAATTTGTGAGCGGTGAAATTCTACAAATGTCACTTTCAAGGTACGGCCAATGTAAGATAAACGTTGGGTTAACGTCGAGAGAATTGACTTCATTGCACCAGATTTGATCCCATACGGCTTGGTCTCTTTGTGAAGAATGGCTAGCCACCTGCTGAGAGCACCACACAGAACACAAACTCTGTAGCTCCAGCAAGATTCCCAGGGATCTACATAAAAATTGCCCTCGTGAACTGAAGTGCACAGCTGTGGAATGAATCTTCAACCTTCAGAGGGTCAGGCTTAACCATTTTGCCACTGAGACCCCCGAACATACGCAGTATGCTTTTAGTGGAGTGTTGAAGATTAAGTGGGAGATATGGACTACACAATAGCTTTCATAAAGGTTACAGACCTCCTGATTTAAGTTTTGGGACTGCAGGATTGAAGAAGAAGAAGACATTAATCTTGGAAATACTATATATTTTTTTTTAGAAATGTCAGGTTTAATGATAGATAAGTTGTGGCGTGAATGTTAGACAGGCTGTGTCGTGAAACATTTTATTATTACAATTTATGTTACTGTTATAAGGGGTTAGTTTGACCTCAGATTTGCTATTAGACTTTTACTTTATCATGAAATAATGTCTGTTTAAAAAAAAAAAATGTGTCACCAACAGAAAACGTTTGAAAATCTCTGATCTAAACAACTGCACACATTTAGCTTTTGACTGAACATTTCTATGTTACCTGCAGGCTCTGTAAGTGAAGGTTTACTGACATGTGATGTTTTGAAGTGAGGTACTGACACTGTACACCTGGATGGAATGTTCGTTTGAGGGCCCCCATGAATGGTTTTGTCATCTGCATCTTGTTTAAATCAGCCTGGTGAAATGAAACAATATCAGTGAACTGTTTGTTCATTATCATGAAATTGTGAAAGCTGGAAAAAAACATAATCAAGGCAAGCATTTCTTTTCTTCCTTGTACATGGTACATATGGTACATTTACTGGAACCAAATAGCAGCAATTAAAATGGGAAACAGATTGTTTTTTTTTTAACAGATAAAGCAAGGAGTGAGACAGGGATGTTTCTTATCCCCAGACCTTTTCTCTCTATATAGGAAAGTAATTTTGTGGGAAATTAAAGAGAAAGCAGGAATAAGAGTTAAAGAATATAATATAAACAATTTGCGTTATGCAGATAGCATATCCTTTTTTTGAGATCCACTTTCAAGATGTGGTTTCTGAGACTAATGTAACAAATACCTTGGACGGCCAGAGTAACTAACAACAATCATTTGAAAAAACCTAAAGAAAGTAGATCTCTATATACAATAAGAAAGAGACAAACACTGTTCTTTGGCCAAGTAATGAGAAGAGAGCCATTGGAAAACATCGTGACAACTGGAAAGATCAGTGGAAAGAGGGGTAGAGGCAGACAAAGAGAGATGATGCTGGATGGGCTGAAACAATAACATGGAGGGATATCATCAAGTAAGCTGTTCCAGGCAACCAGGGATCGTGATCTTTGCAGATGCATGAGCACCTATGCCAGGTGGAAGAATGGAAGTGTAGACAGTCACAACAGCTTTATGCTGCTTGAGAACCAGCTGTACACACATGTGTGATTACAACTGACTCACAAAGTATGTTGAGAAAGGTGGCGACAGACATGCTCTGTGCAGAGTGGCAGCCAAGGCTTCAGGAAACCTAGGTAGCTAGCGTTCTTTGGATATTTTCTTTGGGATATGCAGGAGTGTTGGGAAATGAACAGCAGATAGACTGGCTAGTTCTGCACCAATGAGTGGTGAATTCATTTATCACAATCTAGATGTGGTCATGGCCATTTAGGAGCAAGTGAACAATGTGGAGGCACAAAAAGATCATTATAGTCAGAAAAGAATGTTACAGCTAGGAGTGACCAGGGAATCTGGTCAACACTCTACACTCAGAAGAAACGTAAGATGGACTTATAACCAAACGCTATTGACATCATTGGAATTGGAACTGAGTGTTTATATGAATGTTTTGAGTGCTGTAATATCAGTTCATAGCTTCACTATGAACAGTCAACAATGGCTTCCAATAACACCCTGGGACACTAATATATCAATGTTATAATTATCAACAGTACATTCCAGTGAACAGAGAAGTACAAAACTGTTACCTCTATTTGATCATGAAGTTTTGCTCCAGTAACTTCCCCTCTCCACTGATCTTCTAGCCAGGTTGTTAGCTCCAAGCTAAGAGATCTCCACTTCTCTTTGACTTCAACTTCCCAGACAGCTGGACTACTGAATACAGAAAGCAGCGCCACCTCCTGATATGCTGAGTTGATCACAGATATGTTAATTCCCTCAAGGGAGGCAAACACAGCAATCTGGGCACTTTCTCCTTCATTTATCTGAAAGAAAACAGCATAGAAATAGTGAAAGCAAAATGTATATATAAACAGTAAACAAAGTTTTCAAAATGCACTTAAATTTTACAGTTTTAATCTAGTACTAGTGCTTCAGTAGTGGCATTGCTGTTTTAGAGATGTTGCCATATATATATATATATATGTGTGTGTGTGTGTGTATTATACATACATATGCTGTACATTCACTTTGTATCTTAATCATCCCCTTGTGGGATGCAATTTTTCATTATTTTGAAGCCCTCTCCTGGCTGTTGCCAGGGGCCGCAATATAGCATAACAGTTGAACGCGGTTTCTAGGGGTGATCCATTTCCGCATGGTGGCACTTTGTGTCACCGGGTGTTTATCGCTCTGTGTGATGTCCTAGTAGGGTAAAATTTACTGACTTACTTACATTCACTTGTATAGGCTCTCCATGATTGTGCAAGGTTATCTTTCTAAAATAATAATACACTTTTTTAAATTAAAAAAAAAAAAAGAAGAAGAAAATTGCAGTTATCTGATGGCGCCTTCATGTTCAACAAAAAATTATAGTTTCTGAAACAAACACAATTTTTTTCATACATTTGACATTCAAAATCTTTGTAATTTAATGAATGAAAGTGTTCACATTGCATATAAGAATACCTTAGGGTTCAAATAATCAACTGACAGTTCACTTGCATCTGGGCATTGATAGCTTGTATGCATACAGACTTTCCCCTCAACTTTTAAAAACGTGCCATTGGATTACTATGAGTTTCTTTTCTTGAACAGGAAAGAGACAACAGACTTGTTTAAAAAAAAAAAAAAACATGGGAGGGGGGGGGGGTGAAAAAGAAGAAAAAAAGGGGGGGGGGGGGAGGGGCACAGTTTAGATAGAAAAGAGTATGGATATAATGAAATCCCGTTGCTTAATCCTCACCCATGCAGGAATATAGTTAGTCTACACAAGGGTAGATTTTATGCAGCTTTATCTTCTTCTTCCCTTCTCTACTCCTGGAATGCCTTGCAGTTGTTATGGGTGTTATAGTTATAAAGAAGAATGAATTGGGTATGTGGAATCTGCCCACTAAACTGCCATCTAGGCTGCGAGTGAATTGCAGAAGTATTAAGACTTTTGGTGGCAGCCCAGAGGAGACAATCAATCAGTCAAACTTTAATTTGACCACTGACATTTAATTAATTCTTCTTCCTCCTTTTTCTCCTGCTGCTTCTTCTTCTTCTTCTTCTTCTTGCATGTTTGCCCTTAAAATGGTGGCTGGCACAATGCATTGTGGTTTACATCTAGGCTGCAATATCTACACCTTTCAGCCCATTGTTTTCAACTTCAGCAATTCCCCTAATTAGTGGAACAGTGTATCGATTACTTTTACCTATTAAACAGCGCCCTGAAATCCACATAGAAAGAATCTATAAATAAATCTAACAACTGATGCAATTCAATGTCAAATTCTGCAGCAGGATGTAAAATTAAATGAATTTCGCACATACTGGATAATGACCGAAATTTACTTCATTGCTTTAACCTGAGTTTTGAATTCAAAACAGAGTTAAGTACTCATTTAAGAATTTGGTGCACTTCAGTGGTGTTGAACCAAATTAAATGAACACAGGTAAAAAAAATAAACGAAACATAGGAATGAAGATGGTAAAAATATCAGGAGAAAACACTAAGTATCACAAAAGAAATATGACAAGGACATTCATTTAAAAAAAAAATGCTAGAAAAATTGGAGCAGCACAAGGTAAAAGAAGAAAACATGTGAAGAATAACCTTAAAAAGCATGCATTTATGCCACAAAGATGTATTCATATATTAAAATTAATTGAAGTACCAGACAAAAAGATATGGAGTAGCACAAGGAGACATGTTATAAGAATGTCCAAAAGACATGCAAGCATTAACTTTTACTTTTAGTTACCTGGGACATGGCTATAGTTATACTATCTGTTACAAATAAACAGTATGGATTTCATATTTATTTGCATAGTCAAGGAATTCTAATGCTTAGACAAAAGACTGAGGCACTTTAGGCAGTCAAACTCCATTGCGGAGATCGCACCATTTAAAGAAAAAATGATTATCAGTAACACAAAATCTAGGTCAGACCGCTGCCAATACCTACTATATTGAGGCACAAAAGCTATGCTAGAATAATCTTTAACAACAAACCATGCTGATAAGCAGTGACAGTTATCATTTTCATCTCACATGATCAACTGACTTGGATCATGTTTGTATTCTTGTTCTAAGGCTATCAGGCATCTCTTTGTTTTTTTCCCCCCAGTTTGCCTGCTGTCACTAAACCTTTAAGATTATTTCTTCTTATAACAAGCCCAATAAATCTTGAATGCTTATAATTAATTTCTCTAATTAGTTTGCAGTTTTCGGTAATTAAAACAGACTTCTTGACTAAATCTGACTTAATTAAACCAACCTCTAATTTATTTTTTTAGTTCCTTTGATCAGTGGTTTAGTCTGTCTTCACAGTTTCCTTCCCAAACTTCTTATTCCAAATTAGAATCTCAGATTTGGTATATTATGGTTAAAGGCTTGGTTCCTACTCTTTCAAATCTGTATGTTATATCTTTCAAATTAGGTTCTGATATCAAATATGACTTCTATTTAGGCAAACTCAGGTTTCTTTTATTAATTACCATGGTTAAAAGCTTTTTAACTGTTCTATCACATCTCCACATTACAGCTTTCAAACTGTTAACACCAAATCTGACCAATCTAATCTTAGTTATCATGGTTAATGACTTAGTTTTTTTTTCTTCCACATCTTCATTATGTCTTTCAAACAAACTTCTAATACAAAATAGGACTTCAAGTTTAAGCAATCTCCATTTTCTTACATTAATTACCATGATAGAGGACCTAATTTCTTTCTTTCACATCTTTCTATCCCCTATCAGTTTAATGTCAAAGAGAAATATTTTTTTAAATAAAACATGTGTGCTGTGTTAAAAAAAAATAATTTTCATTTGATAATCTATCTCTTGCTGCGTTAAAAGAAATATACGGTGAATCTGTCTCTGTTTCTGCTGCACTTTAACATTTGTTTATGGTAGACTATTTGGAGGTAGCCTTATTACAAACCATCTGGCTTGCTGTCTTTCAAGAAATAACTATTGATTGTAAAATTAAACACTTCACTAACATCCATGTTAATTTCTTTATTTTACATAGTTTCTATGCTCATCTCAGTAAAATCTGCATGATTATTATCACTGATATAGAATAAACAGCTATGCTATGGTAATCAAATGAAAACTAACAAATATAACCTCTAAAAATCACCAACACAGATCCTTGGATGTAGGTTTCAAATGCTACAGAGAACTAACACCTTCAATAATCACCAACAGATTCTTGGAAATAAATAGGATAATTTCAGATGCTACAGAGAGCAAAAACCTAATGCCTTCCGTGATCACTGGTTGCATGAACCAGAATCATTAACACTGAAGCTGAAACATTCTTAAGACTGACAATGGGTAGCTAAGTGTCAACAACTCTACATTTTAGTGATACCACAGAAAGGGCAACAACAACAAAACTGACTACATTTACTTTGCAGAAAAATTTCTAAAACTGATCGTACATCAGAAAATACAGAACCATGTAGACAAATGTGTTTATACAAAATACTGGGCTTTGGGCAAAATATGGTAAAAACTAGATGTGAAAAATATGAACAAATTTGTGCAAATTGGAAAACATACTGGCATAGGCATAATTTGACAATCATACACAATTATTGATTTGATTCAAGAAAAAAAAAACACATATCAAATGCCTAGCAATGCTGTGCGTCCTAATGTTGGATGCAATTTGTTGTGGTTTTAAAGCCCTATCCTGGTTGTTGTCGAGGATCCTAATATAACCCAACCTATGGGTTGAACAGGGTTTCTGGGACTTGTCCCTGGGTGAACAGTCAGCTCTTGATACCACTGTCAAAACCAACGCCAAGACAAACTGCAAACAGCTGGGATAGAACCTGGCACCCCAGCATTACGAAGCTAGCTTGCAATGACTAAGCCACAGACGCCAACAGCTATATATATAGAGATGATTTTAATCTGTGATTGTCAGAGGTGCTGTGGAATGTTCAGAATGGATGGTTGTCATTCATGGAGGATAAAAACCTGTGTGAACTTGCGTAAATCAATTAAGCAGCTCATAAAACCAAAGAGCTGATATGCTGGCCTGAAAAGCCCCTATCAAGATAGACGGAGTGAATATACCTTGAAAAATAAATGACAGTTTAGATCATGATGACACAAAACTTAAAGGATTTTTGTGTTTGCAGCAGTTGCAGTGAGGAGCCAAGCATGTATAGTGTAAGAAACACAGCAGCTCTGAAAATGTGTTTAATTAGCATACATCAGGAACAATCAGCATCCGTAATAGGACATTTAACTGGTGGCCTGCAGGCCAGATTTGGCCCATGGAGGCCTAGCAAGTGGCCCGTGGATCATTGCCAACTGTATTGTATTATTAAGCTTTCTATAATTGGGTTTTGGAGTTTTGGCCTGTGACAATCCTCATTTGCAAGGTTTTGGCTCCAGGGTAAACATAGCTGAAATCCCCGATCTACACTCTTCCAAACTGTTTGCAAGAGACAAAATGCTTATGAGCTTGTTCCAAATGCAGAAGGGTTTATTCTGCATCAAATGCACTGCCAAAGTTCTGTAAGCAAAGTCACATCTCAGAGTAGATGCAGACAAGAGGTACCCTTTTGCATGAAGCCCTGAATAGAGCTAAGGGTCACTGACTGAAAAGAGAAAAGTCTTGGATGGTGCAAGCTGAAGACATAATTGGACATGTGTGCATGCTTAATAAATTTAGGCGAGGAAAGGAGTGGGTCAAAGTGCCTGATCAGGTTTCAGACTTGTGTAGGGTTCTAATCACTTTGGGATGTGATTGCAGGGACTGGCCAGCTGGCGCTGCAGAATCAGAAGTTTAACAAAAGATTCATGACAAAGAGTCTTTTTT